TCGCAAAACGGAGGGAACTGTTGATATTAAACGACATTTTTCCAAGGCAGGCGGAAGCGTTATAGATTATATTCTAATTTCAAGATTCGCTTATGGCTTTGTCATGAAGTTCCAAGTGGGCCATAAAACTGAGAGTGACCATCTCCCTCTAACTTTAGTGTTTGAAGGCCCACCTTTTGAAAAGCCAATTGCCAACCCACAATATACTCCCACGGTGAATTTGGGTATACCGGCTCCCAAAAGAATTAAATGGTCCCCTGTGCTGAATGCAGAATTAATCCTCCTCCTTCAATCAGTGGAGCTAAAGAATATACATTCTGCTATTGTTTCGACTAACTCCACAGCTGTGGTCCTAGAGCTTTTTAAGATACTTATAGAAAAGCTGAAAACACAATTATCATCTGCGATACAGAATACAGCCACAAAGGGGGCAAGGGATCTAGCAAGCTGGTTCAACGCAGAGTGCAGACAAACAAAGAAGCATTTGAGAACTATTTATCACAAATATAGGAATACTGGGGCACTCCCTTTATTTACTGCATATATCTCCATAAGACGGAACTACAAACAACTATTAAAGAAAACAAAAACAAAAAGCCAAGCGAATCGCATGGCAAAGCCTGGTCACAGCTTCGCACGAGAAAGACCCAACTTGCTTTTGGTGTACCTTCAAGTCTCAGTCAGTTTTATTGCACATAGCCAAAGGCTGCCGCAATGTACACAGAATTATTTGACAATTAAAAGAAAATATACTGAATTGGTAAAGACTTAAAACATTTATATTATTAAAACATTACGTACTCTAAACAAAGCTATAAAAGTACCCCCAATGTACAAATAAAAACATTAAACAATACAATTCATAAGCTAAAATCATCACATGGTCACTAATGTTAAAAACAATATCAATTAATACAGTGTGCAATTTATACTCAGAGTTTGGTGACAAAGATAGAGCATAGCCTGAGGTAGATAGATGGGATCAAATAAATTCATCTCCTTTACAGTTAATGGCTACCTTGGCTATATAATTTGCTCTAATTTTCCTAGCAGCAGTTGCAAAAAGTGCTACCCGCCAGGTCACATACTTATCTGTGTCTGCAAGGAGATATAACATCATGTCAAGGGGGTTCTGGCCAGGGGACCCAGTCATTATAGGTACCAAAAATCTTTTTCTTGCATCATTATATATAACGGACAGTGCAAGATATAAGGTCCTCTACTTCAGATCATCCCCTAATGCAAACACATTCATTTTTTGGTATGCCTCTGTGTCTCCCATCTCTATAAGCAGAGCTTATTGTATTTAGTCGTAGCTCTGTAAAAGCTTTTCGAAGCTGTGCAAAAGTCAATTCATTAAAATAAGATATGTGTTCATTGACCTCTCTAAGTTTAAAATACAATGGGGTGCATGTAGATGTGCACATAGAGTTTAGATCGTTTTTTAGTTGCCACTGCCCTTATGGTTCGTTTAAAAATATTTTTCTGTGAATATAAGGGGAGTTCTTTAATCTCAGTCACTGAGAGGTCATATTTGCCCATCAGTTGGGCAGCGTGATGTACCCAGTTTTTAAGGGGTAATCCATCTGAGAGCTCAATCAGGCATTTTTTTGGTAGCCTAGTGTTGTCCATCTGTTGAACTCTAAGCCAGTAACAGAGAATTCTTTTATCTATTTGGCTCTCTATGTTCAACATGCGAGTTTCCAACCTGACCATGGCAGATTGCCCGTCTTTGGGTAAACCTAAAAGAACTCTTAAAAAATAATTCTGTGGGGGTTCCAGACCAGAGACCTTTGAGGTACCCCAAACCTCTGCACCATATAAAATCTGGTTCAAAATCTTAGGGTGAAAAGAAGAAGGATCTTGGAAACTGGGTGACTGATTAGCTCAGAGTGGCACTGGTGCAAGCTTTCCCCCCCCCCAAAAAAAATCATTCTACTATAACTTCAGGGTGTGCACGACATGGCCAACAGATTCCTTGTTATTGGAGATGTAACTCTCCACCATGGCTTCAAGTTCTGCAGTCGTTGTCCCACATCTGCTGCTCCTCCAGAAAAGAAAAGAGGGGAAGGACAGGAAGAGAGGAAGACCATAGCAAGTGAAAGAAACTAAGGACAGCCTTGGTAGTGAACGTTAATCACTAAAGGGGGGGCTTATGTATAGAAGCAGTAAGATCATAAATGTATTTCAAGTCTTGTCCCCCTAAAACCATTAACAGACGAAGTCTTTGGGCAGTTTTGAGGAGTCTTGTCTTGAAAACTCTAAAATCTTGACACTTCTAGAACCGTCCTGAGCCCGTGTTTGTCAGGTGATGATAAAAAGGGAACATTTTGCGTTTCCAAACACCATGCAGGTTCCAGCTGCAGCCAGTCAGCACTGCCCTTTGCAGGCAGAGGGAGCTATTCCTTGTGTATCGCAGGCCTCAGGCACCAGACCCAGGTAAAATAAAACGTCTGCATGTTCCTGATTTAGTTTCTTTTTTAAAAAAAAAAAATAATATTTATTGATAATTTCAAAATTACAAGAAAAATAAAAAATAGCAAACAACACTACAATACAAAAAGAGAAAAAAGAAAAAGAATACAATAACAATACAGCAATAAAAAAGTAAAAAAGAAGAAAAAAGAGAGGGGGGGAAACACAAATCCCAAATTGCATATCCATAATTTCCATTTGCTTGTTTCATTGACCTCCTCACACCTCCGTTTTTGTATTCTAGTTTAGTAATTGTTTCAGCAAATTCTTTCCATCTTTCTCAATTTTTGTTATAAAATTTGTCTTAACAATTTAACCTAATAATTAACTCAACAAATCCTTACCATCTTTCCCCATATTCTATTATTCAGATTACCTTAATTTATTTAACCTTATCTTACCCCTATGTGCCTTAAAACTTAAATCTTAAATTTCAAATAAACATAACTCCTAATATCATTTCTGCTAGAGTCGTATAGTTTCATTCCCACATTTTCCCTAATATTCATTAGCTGATTCTAAGATAAAAAAGTTTCCATTATAAATTCTCTTCCAATCATCATCCAGCGTCTCTTCTTCCTGGTCTCGGGTCATGTCAGTCCTTATTGTCCTTATTGTCCATTCCGTCTACTCCATCAACCTGGAAGCCTTATGTTCGAGGCCCTTAAATCTCTTCCATGTCCCTTCTGCAATTCTTCTTCATCTTGTTTGTGCTTGCCCTTTTCCTTGTCTCTTGTTGGTCTCTGTCTTAGTTTCTTTTCTTTCTCATTGAGGAGTAGGTCTCTGGGGGATTCCAACCCAAAATTGTCTCCATCACCCTTCATCCAGCTCACCCATTCCCCACAGCCCCACTCCCCACAGTCCTCGATGTAATCCAAAATGAATTTAAAATCAAATTTCAGAATCTCTCCAAAGCTAGAAGTCTCCTCATCTCCAGACTCCCTTGGCCCACTCCAGCTTCAATCTTCAATAACAGTGGCTTATGCTCCTGTAGGGCCTCGGGTCTCTCCATTTGTACTATTTGAGGTGCAGCCACATCCTCCTCCATTGTCAACTGCACTTGCCCAGTCGGTACAGATTGATAGGTTAGTTCTTGGATGATTTCTGTATCAATGTTATTAACCACAACAGTCAAATCCAGTCAAATCCATTTTCTCATTCATCAAGTCCATCTTTTCATGCATCTGTTCCAGCAAAGCATTTGTCTTGCGTAGAGCAAGCAACCAGTCTTTCTCCCAGCTCATCTTTGTTCAAGGTCGGAAAAGTCTGTTCCCACAGTCTTAATCTCACAGATGTTGGGTCTCATATATGCTGCAACGACAATTTAGCCAGCTCCCTCTAGAGGAGACAATCTACTTGTAGCCATTTTTTTTTTAAAGACAAAGGAAAGTTACTTTCATTTTTCAGATATTTCAGACGTTTTTCAGATATTTTGTTTCTTTAAGATGCAAAAGGCAACATTAGAATCAACTTGTTTCTCTTCATTAGCCATCTGTCAAAGTGTTACATTCACCGTCAATGAACCTCAGCAACAGTTTCTGTCTCTGACACCCCGTTCCCAGGTTAGGGACGATGGAAACTTATCCTTCTTCACTCCCTCTCCTGTTAGGGTTAAACAGAGTCCCCCCCCCTTTTCTCCTGCTTCCAAGGGGGGTTTCAGTGGTTCTAAATGAAGGAAATTTAGTCCTTTTTGACAGCTTCCCGGCTTTAGCTTGCAAAATTTTTGCTTTAGTCTATAGACAAAGAAATGGAAGGCGGACTTCCTGTTTACACCTTCCCGCTTCGTTACCAAATTAAAGCAATTTCTTGATCCAATTTTCCGTTTCTACTCACGGGTACTTGTTTTAAGTCCAATTGTCCACAGGAAAAAGTCAGTGCTTTCTGGCAATGGCTGTGCGGCTTCACTCCGTGAAAGTAGCAGTCAGTTCGTAGCACTGCGCTTCTCACCCCACTTCGCTCCGGAGCCCCTAGATGGGATTCTCCGCGAGTGGGGGGGGGGCGCTTCTGGTGCCCTGCCGAACCCCACGTTCCCAGGCTTCCTCTGCCTGGGATTTCTAGCGGGTCCCCACCTTCGCCGCGGCGGGAAGACCCAGTTTTCACGGAGCCCGTTCCTCCAGTCGGAGGAACTCCGCCATTCACCAGTGGCGCTGACCCGGAAGTCCGTTCCTGATTTAGTTTCATGATACTGGTTCCTTATGGTGCTCCTTAGCACTATTCATTTCTTTTTATGATTGGTAGGATAAGCTATGCATATACACACATGGAAATGCATTATCTTTACCACAGTTTTTAAAAAACCAAAACCAAAAATGCACAATCTTTGGAACAAAAGAATTAAAGGCAGAAATTTAAAGGAAAAATACATATTCAAAGAACATAGTGAGGTATAAAAAAGTATTTCTCGTTTTTTCTTCTTTTTGTTTTCCTCCTCTTCTTGCTATAGAGTTCCTCTACTAGTAAATTTTGCAATAGCCAGGCCTCATGAACTGGGGAGGCTGTCCCACTTGCAGGGGGCTCATGTCACTTCAGTAAGGGGTGAATCGGCTGTAGCCACCTCGGTATAAACTTGCCACAGCGCCAACTCCATAGCTAGCGGCAGGGGCAAGGGCGTGGTAAGGGTCTGCTGGGTACACCCTGCCATAACCATCGCTGTAAGCCGCTGCAGCGGCTGCAGCAGCAGTGGCTGCTGTTGCGGTAGCAGGCTGTGCATATCTGTAGGCTGCATATCCACCATAGAGGTCAGCACCGTAAAATCCATCCTGGTAAACCACACCTGGGTAAGCTGGGATGGCTGTTGGAGGTACTGCTCTCACTGCACCATACACTGTCCGCCCTCGGCCCCTCAGATGAGCTCCCCTGAATGCAGCTGCTGTGGTGGCTGCAGTTGGGTAAGGGAAGCCTGGAACTGCATATAATTCAGGGCCATACACTGCTCCAACCACAGGGCTCAGCTTCCAACCGTTTGCATACGGTGTGACCATCTTCTTATTAGTCATCACACGGGCGGTGGTATTATTAACCTCGATTTTACAGCCCTCTAACACAGTGCCATGTAATTTCTCCCTGGCCCTGTCTGCATCAGCACTATTCTCAAAAGTTACGAACCCGAATCCCTTGGAGCCACGTTCATTAAAGATTACCTGTACATCAAGGATTTTGCCAAATTGCCCAAACATCTGCCTGAGATCAGGATCCCGAAAGTGGAAGGGAATGTTGGAGACATGCAGCCGCTTTGGAGTAGATTTGCTCTCGGTACTCTCGTTGCTTTGTGTCTGTGACAGCTGGCCATCCGTCTGTGCCCCTCCTTCTGTCTGCATAAGAGATCCCTTCTGTGTGGTGGCTGTGTTCATTTTCTGTTCTCCGTGCGCCTGTGTACTCCCGTAGATTGTCAGATTGTGCACACTGGTCTGGCCTGCATAGTCCTGAGTGTGGGGTACGCCATACTCTGTGGGGATCCCATTCTGTGGGGGAGGTGGGAATGGGATTGTTGTGAATGGTTGGACCATTGTGTCAGGAGTGGCTGTCGGCTTCTGGTTACCCTGAGTGACCATTTTCTTTTTCTCCATAAACCAAAACGGGGGGAGGGAGGTGTTGGAGAAAGGGGAAAGAAAGACCCTTCCACCAGGTGGGGCTGTGGCAGAACCCTTTGCCTATTTGCTTTGCGCCCCGTCTCCGAATGGCGACCTAGAGGGAGCGGGGGGTTCCCCATGATCCTGGTTTTCCTCCCTTTCTTCTCTCGTGTTTCTTCCTTTCTTTTCTCTTCCTCTCTGACTGTCTCTCCCCCGGCCGCCCTCTCCGCAGCTCCCTCATCAGCATATAAGAGCACTGAGATTGGTTTTGTGGCCAATTTAGGAGCATGGAACTCCGGAGATGTTAGGCTTTTAACCATGTCATTGATATATAGGTTAAATAAAGCTGGGGCTAAAATGCAGCCTTGCTTAACCCCCTTGGTGGCTGGTACTGGGCCTATGAGTTGGCCATTTGTGGAGGATCTTATGTACAACACAGTATCTTTATATAGGCCATTAGTCAATAATAATAATCTTTTCTCTATACTGGATGTATTCAATTTGGCCCAGAGTCTTACTTGTGAAATTGAATCAAAGGCAGCCTTCAAATCAATGAAGGCTGCATATAAGACCCCACAGGTTTTCTTGGCATATTTGTCAATAAGATGTGCTAAGACAAAACAGTGATCTATGGTAGATCTGCCTTGCCTAAATCCAGCTTTCTCCTCTGCCAAGATAGCCTCAGCGTACATCCAACTGGTTAATTTGATATAGAGGTGTTTTGCATATAATTTGCTAGGTATAGGTAAAAGACTAATAGGTCTGTAACTTGCCAGGTGTGCTGGTCCCAGGGGGCGGTTACTGCGGGGCAAGGTCCAGGACCTGGGTCGAGGGTCGGCAGACAGTCCTCCACGGGTGAAGCGGAGTCCAAAGTGAGGAGCCGGGCAAGGACAGGAACTCTGGAGGAATAGGACAGGGTGCTGGCCGAAACAGCTCTTCAACGATGTTGCTCCCACAACCTGGCACCGGGCTGACTGGCCTTTATCTTCTCTGAGGCCAGGGGCGGTCCCGGCCCCCAGGAGACCTGCCTCTCCTGGCCTTAAGGCGAGCACTCCTCCTGGGAGAAACCAGTTCCCTCCGCCTCTCTGCCCTGAGCCTCTGCAGCTCAGGAGAGGTTGGAGGGTAAATGGACCCAGGGGGAGACTCACCTTCCCTTGACAGGACTGGGAGAGGCGCACCTGTAGGCACTGTGTCCTCAACCACCTCGGGAGCCAGAGTGGATTCACCTGGTGCCTGCTCCTGAGGATCCAGCACAGGTGCGGGCGCTTCAGAATCAAGGCCCTGCCCCAGTTCAGCTGGCCCTGGAGGCGGGGACTCCTGTGCAGACTGGGATTCCTCCGGTTCAGCCTCTGAATCGGATTCCCAGGCCATCACACCGGGTCTGATGTGGGGCCCTTTTTATAAATTGGGATGATTATCGCCTCGACCCACCCTTCGGGAAATTGACCTGTTGAATCAATGTGGTAGAGCATTGGCCTGGTCTTCAGAAAGCTCCAGGAGGCTTCTACAGGTAGTGCTGGAAGAGATTCCTGTCTGAAACCCTGGAGAGATGCTGAAAAGTGAGTGCAAACAATCTGAGCAAGATGGTCCATGAGTAGGAAGCTTCACTGTTGAGCCATAGACTTGGCCACTCTCTGCCCCCATCAAGCCCCAGGGTCCTCTAGGTGTGTCTTTCCTGTCCCCTGCTTTCCTGCCAGCAGTGCACAGTCCCCGTTTCTTTTTCTTCCATCCCATTTTGGTCTGGCTTTTTGGAACTGCTAAATGGTCTAAATCCAAAGACTAATTAATTGAGGACTGAAGTACTTCAATTGCAGCACAGTGTTCGTTTCACCAGATCCTCCTTGCCACTAACTGACAAAGTTCCTGTTCCTGTTCCTTGTTGAGATAGCAATGGCAGATGTAGCTGATTCACCTGACAAGATATCCAGAGGTTGGTGGTTGATTCATTTCAAATCTAACCCAAGGAGGTGCCTGGCTTCTTCTCTATTACTGCCTGCAAGGCACTGAGGTGCAACAGCAACACTGGACTGCTGATGGTGATGACCTAATTGCCAGCAAGCACACCATGAAGAAGAGTCAAGACAACCAAATGTGAATAATATAACAACTTGAGGATCTGCAAAACTAATAATTAGTCAGATTCAACAAATGCAACTGAACAAGCATAAATATACTGTCATCACCTCTCCCCATTGGGTGAAATAATCCTCAGACCATAATGTCATCCCCTAAGGAAATATCACCTCTCCTCTTCTTCAAGGGGAGGAGGGGTATGGCAAATTCATCCCCTCCAAAAAATGGCGGGAATGGCATTCTTCATGTGTGGAGAAACTGAGGTGTGGAGCATCTTCTTTCATTTCCCCAGAGTGAAGGCTGTTCCTGGGAGCAAATATGCCTTCTTGAGAAGCAAGACTTGCTCAAAAGATGCCCCTGGAAGCACCAAGCCCACCTCTGGCAGCTCCAGCAAAAGGGAGTGCAACAAAGCAGAGCACCACAGCCTCAAAAAAACCACATGGTTGTTCAGTGGGGGATGTGCTTTGCTGACTCCAGATGCTGAAGAGATTATTCCTGTTACTGACGTGCTCCAGTTTTTTAAAAAAACCAACCAACACACAATCTTCCACATGCTGTGAACAGGACTTGAATGCCGCTTCTGTAACAGTCTTGATCAGTAAGACGCTGGAGAACTGCTGCCAGCCAAAATAGACATTATGGGACTTGGATGGGCAAATAGACTGAGCTGCCATAAGCCAACTTCATATGTCCCTAATGGAATTTAATGTGGTATCTGATCGCAACTTGATAGAGCATCACTCTCATCTAGCACCCTTTAGGTGTCTGCCTTGAGGAAATTTTAGCTGTCTGCATTGTGTGTTTGTTGTCATCTTCCTACACTACAAAATGCCCTCTGCTTATGGGTGCCTGATCTTTGCTTCAGAAGACAGCCCTGTTCACACCTTGTTCTTGGTTTCTGCAAGTGATCTATGTCATTGCCACACCACCCACAAATGCCTGTGTGTTTGTGGCTTTTAGACAAGTTGCAAGTATTCTGGTTTATTAACTGGTGGCTACAGCAAGTCCTTGCCTATCCTGATCTCCTTTATCTGGTGGATATAAACTGAGGCTCCCTGTGGGTACTTTTACTGGGAACATGGCACTTATCCCAACCTGGGGCTGAAACTGGGCCATATAGTCTGTTCTGCAGTAGCAAAAGTTATTTGGACTGGTACTCAGTAAGAACAACTCATTCCCAACCATGTGCCTTGCAGCTGAAAGTGAAATGTGCAAGGGACTATGTTGCTTTCGTGTATGACATGGGAGAGTAGGCTGCAATTTGAAGGAGCTAAACCTGGAGCTAAATTTCCACTAGGAGGTGTCTGTGTCTTCTCTGTTAAGGTGTTCCTGTGGCCACTGCCGGCCATCTTTACCACTGGCTTTGAGATATGGTCTACACACCAACTTCCCCTGAGCAAGAACTAGAACAGTCCAATCTGGGAACAGCAGGGTGAAACATCTCCTGCTGCGAGATGAAAGTGATGTAGAACTCTGGCAAGGTGTGATGTTGAGAATCGTCTTGGATGCTTTCAGCCTCTTCGGTTTCCAGTGCTTTTTGTGCAGGCAGGGTGCATTTAAGCAAATCCAAGAAACTGACAGCCCCAAGCAGATGCAAGGCACTGAGGTGCAACAGCAACTTTGGACCACCAATAGTGGCTTGCCTCGCAAGCTTTGTGGTGATGGTCCAATTCTTCATGTGTGGAGAGGCTGAGGTGCAGAGCATCTTGTTTCATTTCCCCAGAGTGAAGGCTGCCCCCCGGAGCCAAGACTTGCTCAAAAGATGCCTATGGAAGCCCCAAGTCCACTTCTGGCAGCTCTTGCAAAGGGAAGTGTGACAAAGCAGAACACCACAAGATCAAAGAACCACACGGTTGTTCAGTGGTGGATGTGTTTTGCTGAATCCAGATAAAGAAGAGATGGTTCCTGTCATGAATGTGCTCCAGTTTAACACACAATTCACCCAATGCTGTGAACAGGACTTGGGAGATCAGAGCATATTTCTGTGCTGCAAGTTGAAAGTCTCTTGAAGCCAAACTGGTTTGTGGCTCTGTAGGCTATAGTTTCCCATGACCTTGATGAAAATCTCTATTGTTTTGCCTTTGGAGTGTCTTTATCATTTTCAGTCATCAGCCACTGCTTCCTGTCACCTTTTCCCAGTTGAAGACTTAGTTTTATTTGTTTGCAAAAATGTCTATACCTCCAACATTACTACTACTACTACTACTACTAATAATAATAATAATAATAAGCAGCAGCACGTGGCTGAAGAGCATAAAGTGGACAATACAATTACATTCAGAAACAAGTACAAAACACATCTGCTGGCATCTGTCTTTCTCAGGAGACAATGGTGGAGGGGGCCTTTGGGGGCAAACTCTAACTGTTGGATAAATTGCAGCACCTGCTATGGCTGCAGAGACCAATATGAGAGAGACATGCTTTGTTGCAGCTGGGACAGATGAGGGTGTCCAGTTGTGCTGCTGCACCATGATATTTCTTCTCTCTGCACTGCATCACAAATCAGCTTAATACACATAGTTAACTGGATTGGCCTTTCCAGGAAAGCCTGCATGAACATTTTACCTTGCCATCTCCACCTTACAGAGCTCATGTCCTTAAGCCCTGTGAAGCTGTTCCATGAGCCCTTTTGTTCCTTGTCGTCTCCAGCATCTACCTATCCCTTAGTTGCTGTCCCTTGCTACACTGCAGCTTTCCTCTGCAGCTTCAGTTAAGTGGGGCTGGAAGACATATGGCCGAAGTCTAGCCACTGCTGCCACAGTGGCGGAGGAAAGACAGCAGACAAAGGCAAGGGGGGCAGGCGGGGGCAACTGTGGCATGAAGATTGGGCAAGTAGGGTGAGAAAGAGGACAGAGCTCAGGCAGGGTGGGTGGGATAAAGATTGTGGAGATTGGGCAGGGTGAGTTGGG